ACACTACATGACACCATCCATGTTACTAGTGATCTCACCCTGGGCACTCTGCTATAAAACCACCACACACTACATGACACCGTCCATGTTACTAGTGATCTCACCCTGGGCACTCTGCTATCAAGCCATAGCACACTACACGACACCATCCATGTTACTGGTGATCTCACCCAGGGCACTATGCTAAAAAGCCATCACCTACTACATGACACCATCCATGTTACTGGTGATCTCACCCTGGGCTCTCTGCTATAAAGCCATCACACACTACACAACACGATCTTTGTTACTGGTGATCTCACCCCGGGCAATCTGCTATAAAGCCACCAAACACTACACGACACCATCCATGTTACTAGTGATCTCACCCTGGGCACTCTGCTATAAAGCCATCACACACTACATGACACCATCCATGTTACTAGTGATCTCACCCTGGGCACTCTGCTATAAAGCCATAGCACACTACACGACACCATCCATGTTACTGGTGATCTCACCCTGGGCAATCTGCTATAAAGCCACCAAACACTACACGACACCATCCATGTTACTAGTGATCTCACCCTGGGCACTCTGCTATAAAGCCATCACACACTACATGACACCATCCATGTTACTAGTGATCTCACCCTGGGCACTCTGCTATAAAGCCATAGCACACTACTCGACACCATCCATGTTACTGGTGATCTCACCCTGGGCACAATGCTAAAAAGCCATCACCTACTACACGACACCATCCATGTTACTGGTGATCTCACCCTGGGCTCTCTGCTATAAAGCCATCACACACTACACGACACGATCTTTGTTACTGGTGATCTCACCCCGGGCAATCTGCTATAAAGCCACCAAACACTACACGACACCATCCATGTTACTAGTGATCTCACCCTGGGCACTCTGCTATAAAGCCATCACACACTACATGACACCACTCATTTTTCTGGTGATCTCACCCTGGGCACTCTCCCATAAAGCCATCACACACTACATGACACCATCCATGTTACTAGTGATCTCACCCTCGCCTCTCTGCCATAAAGCCATCACACACTACATGACACCATTCATGTTTCTGGTGATCTCACCCTGGGCACTCTGCTATAAAGCCATGAAACACTACATGACACCATCCATGTTACTGGTGATCTCACCCAGGGCACTCTGCTATATAGCCATCACACACTACATGACACCATCCATGTTACTGGTGATCTCACCCAGGGCACTCTGCTATAAAGCCATCACCTACTACATGACACCATCCATGCTACTAGTGATCTCACCCTGGGCACTCTGCTATATAGCCATCACACACTACATGACACCATCCATGTTACTAGTGATCTCACCCTGGGCACTCTGCTATAAAGCCATCACACACTACATGACACCATTCATGTTTCTGGTGATCTCACCCTGGGGAATCTGCTATAAAGCCATCACACACTACATGACACCATCAATGTTACTAGTGATCTCACCCTTGGCACTCTGCTATAAAGTCATAACACACTACATGGCACCATCCATGTCACTGGTGATCTCATCCTGGGCACTCTGCTATAAAGCCATCACACACTACACGACACCATCAATGTTACTAGTGATCTCACCCTGGGCACTCTGCTATAAAGCCATAACACACTACATGACACCATCCATGTTACTAGTGATCTCACCCTGGGCACTCTGCTATAAAGCCATCACACCCTACACGACACTATCTATGGAACTGGTGATCTCACCCTGGGCGCTCTCTGCTATAAAGCCATCACACACTACATGACACCATCTAGTTACTAGTGATCTCACCCTGGGCACTCTGCTATAAAGCCATCACACACTACACGACTCGATCTTTGTTACTGGTGATCTCACCCGGGGCAATCTGCTATAATGCCATCACACACTACACGACACCATCTATGTTACTGGTGATCTCACCCTGGGCTCTCTGCTATAAAGCCATCACACACTACACGACACCATCCATGTTACTAGTGATCTCACCCTGGGCACTCTGCTATAAAGCCATCACCTACTACATGACACCATCTAGTTACTGGTGATCTCACCCTGGGCACTCTGCTATAAAGCCATCACACACTACATGACACCATCCATGTTACTAGTGATCTCACCCTGTGCACTCTGCTATAAAGCCATAACAAACTACATGACACCATCTGTGTTACTGGTGATCTCACCCTGGGCAATCTGCTATAAAGCCATCACACACTACACGACACCATCTAGTTACTAGTGATCTCACCCTGTGCACTCTGCTATAAAGCCATAACAAACTACATGACACCATCTGTGTTACTGGTGATCTCACCCTGGGCACTCTGCTATAAAGCCACAACCTACCACACGACACCATCCATGTTACTAGTGATCTCACCCTGGGCACTCTGCTATAAAGCCATCAAACACTACACGACACCATCCATGTTACTAGTGATCTCACCCTGGGCACTCTGCTATAAAGCCACAACCTACCACACGACACCATCCATGTTACTAGTGATCTCACCCTGGGCACTCTGTTATAAGGCCATCACACACTACACGACACCATCCATGTTACTAGTGATCTCACCCTGGGCACTCTGCTATAAAGCCACAACCTACCACACGACACCAACCAATGTGTGTAGCAAGTTTAATAATGATATTTTTTTGGTTCTGCTCCGAATGTTAGCCCAGCTGCTTCCATTTAGATCGGAGACAAATTCCAAATTTTAAAAAAGTGACACAAAATATATGAAAAATTCGAAACATATTTAGCAGAAAGCACATATACACCATATGGTAAATGTGTGTACCAAGTTTGGGAAAGTTTTCTCTTTTGGTTATTTATACGGTGGCCCATACCCGGCACTGGTGATATCATTTTTCACTGTATGCCTGTATTTTGCCAGATACTTTTCGTTTAAAATTGGCATACCACGTGTGACCAGAATTACTTCCAGATCAGTGCCCTGGCAATCGACAGATTGGAGATCCGTAGGATTGAGCTTTAATTCTAAAGACGGTATCACCTGCTTGATGAGCCATTAGCAGAGAATTAGTAGTGCGGATAAAATATAGAGGCATACAGTGAAAAATGATCTCACCAGTGGAAGCATCTGGCGGCCGCCAGAAAAGTATCTTGCGGTCGCCAGATAACAAATACAGGCATACAGTGAAAAATGATCTCACCAGAGGCGGGTATGGGCCACCGTATATTTACAATAGTTCAACCAAAAACAGTTGTATTTATCAAAGCATACAAAAATAACGAGATTGATAAACATTCCAGGTGTATGAATACATACTTTGGCGTGACATGAATCAGGTGATTGTTCAATTTATGCACATAACTTAAAGTCAGTAGCCAATCAACGGAGACAGGGATCAAAACTAAATTCATAGAACCTGCCAATGAAGGCAAGAGGCGAGAAGAACTGTAACAGTCAGGCTGTCACGAACCGGAACAAATATATCCGGGAGAAGGCGGCTTTTTCAAATGACATGGTTAGTTACCGCCATTAGTTCCCTGAGAACGGGACGACACAATTGGAAAAATGAGAGTAAGAAATGAAACCCGAAGACATGAAATTTGCGGAACTCAGGCGAGCGGATGAAAAAACGGGGGAGCCTGCACGTTTGCTGTTTCATTCGTTCTAGGCCTTCGGTCTCAAGGGGTAGTTTGGACAATGAATTTGCACGCTAAATGTCCTGTGTATGACGATACATGTGAGCAGAAAGGGAATTCCCTCGACTGTAATATTGCGATTCCCCGATATTTCGTAGTAATAAAGGTTTTCCTCCTCGGAGAGCGTGGCTTAATGTTTTACATTCATTGGAAAATGAATGCAATAACACGTGACAAATTCAACTTATCAGAATGCAGGAATTACAATCAATGAAAATTTAAACATTTGACAATGAAACTAATTTAGACTTAAAAGTTGAGATAGTAAATGAAATTGAAATGATTAATGGAGAACTTGAAAAAAATATGGTGTTTTTAAACAAATGGAATGTTAATAAGATCAACAGCTTAATGGGTGGAAATCGGAGAAAAAACATTAACAATCGCTTGAACGTGAATATATGTATCTTGTATTTGAAATAAGAACGGAAATGCAATGTTATCCAAAGCCATATTGCATTTGCATTGTAAAAACTCCTGTTCACAAGTTCTATGGTAGACGTGTGGAGAACATTTATCCTGATGTCCGAAAAAAATCCCTATTTTGACTTGTACCATGTTTTCCCGTGTTTTTAAGGTGTCCAATCGACTGGCCTTGGCATGTGTTTGTGACGGGTTCCACCGGTAGGCCAGGGTACGGTCACCTTTGCGAAAACCTGGTATCATCACTATTTGATAGTGATTCATAAACACATGCTCGTGATGAAGTTGGAATCATACAATCTACTATATATATTTCTTATGGGTGAGTGAGTTAATATTTAAAGTCACATCGTCAATACTTCAGCCATATCGTGACTTGAACAAGTTATAGCATATATATAAACTGTCGTCAAAGGACAGTACAACAACTAGCAATATATCATAGATTATAATTTAAAACTTGTTTTAGATATAAAAAAAATGATTGGATTACGACAGACGACACATTATAGAAACAGGCTTTTAATCACCAACAACTAAAGTTAGGCCACCATACTAGGGACCATGGGGATATTTCTTGTGGAATATGAAAAGGTTTTGTCGATCTTTTTGCACTACTCCATTTGAATGTGAAAACCGAATGTGAATAGTGAATGGGCGCATTTAATGCAATGAAAACGTATTGTAACTTTTATTGCATATACTAACACAGACAACATGTTAAGAGCACTGTTACCCACAGGTGAATGAAAAGCCAAGCGGGTGTGTCGAGTCGTGTAAATACTGATCATGTTTTGATGACCCGCCACATGCGCTGTGCACCATTCGTCCGTGGTGAAAGTGTGTCAGAACGATAGGCGTCGTGAAGGATATACTGGGGGAACGCAAAACTGTTGATTTCGTCGTTTCGGATTGATCTAACAAACAAATAAGCATGTGGTCCGAAGCAAGGATGAAGCATTTGATGTATGGGATCAGCGTAGTTATGCTGGTGAGTGTTGATCTTGTAGGTTATTGCTTTTCCATGAAGATTTCATGGTCCGGATACTTATGCAGGAAAACTTAGACTTAGTATTCTCATGAACATATAGTTTTAATTTTAGTTTATCTTCAACATAGTTTTTTTAATTGCTGATTACTCAGTGGAGAGACAAAGTATACTTTTCGAAAGAAAGTTTAATGGCATTTGTAGCAAGTAGTCTTGTCTTACGTGAATAATATAAGATGGACAAAAGCCTTTCCATCTTCGAAGAAAATTCAAAATGAGTCAAAACGATTTCGTTCACGATTATGAAATAGGTGTTCATGGAAAGGTGATCAAATCCAGCCCAAAGAGCTTTAATTATCATACATTGTACACGTGGGGAATGGAACCAGAGCCTTAAGCGAATGCTTTAACCACTTGGTCAGTAGTTTATGTCTATTTCTAAACAAACGTCTAAAACACACGACCTTATTCCAGACGTTGTAGTCAGTGCTACATGTAAACATAATACTCTTGGAGTAATATCGTATGGTTTTATACCATGGTCAGCGAAACTCAAGCAATATAACGACAGATGTCAATAGAAATCAGCTTATACTGTACCCGTCCTTTCATATTCTTTTGGTGTTGTTTATTGGACGAAAAAGGAAATTCAGGGTATTGACACCCTCACACGAAGAATCATGTCAGACAATATATCCCACCACCCTTGCTCTTCTCTCAATCGCTTAGATTTACCAATCATTATGGGAGGGCGTGTTTTGATCATTCCTCAGTTTTCTAAAACGAGCCATGGATGTGGGACATAATGTCAATGTTATTGTTGATTTTGTTGATGGTTCTGTACTGATAGACGGTACAGAAAACAAGTGTCAACCAAGTTATGTGCCATATGAAATCTGCTCAGTTTTTAAAGGAGAGGCTTTCTGAACGACCACTGCGTCGAGTTTATGTGAAGTGTGTTGAGAGGAACAGCTACCCTGCAGAGTCCTTTGCTTTGGAGATTTGGAAAGTACCAGGGTTTGCTGCCAGGAATACTGACAATCTGGTTTATGCAGAAAGCTGCAGTATTGGGGAGTCTTCATGTTCTCCGAAAATTTATGAGTAGTTTCGACTCGGCAGCGCTTTCTTAGAGAATTCCCATTCGCTGTCTGGGCTGCGTGTAGAGGAGTCATTGAGCTGATGATGAGCGTAACCAGCCCTCTTTCTTGCGTGTTGTTATTTTAATCATAATAATGATTACAACAACATGTTCAAAGCTGAACAATAGACAGTCTCTTTCAGAGAGGGTCGACAAAAAAGTGCGTATTGAGATGAGATTTGAAACATACGTCTTTTCTGTACAGGTAAAGACCATTTCGAAGATACACTTCATAGGTCAGTGTGAAATCATATGAATAAAGCAGTTTTAGACGATTCTGTGACATGGAGATGGCGCGGAAAGTCCTGCAGGTATCACTGCCACATCTACCTCACCTCAAGCTCATGGATAATGTTACTTTTTTTCTGTAAAATTGCAGAACGACGAGTAAGCCCACGACTGAATATCTTTGACAAAGCACTCCCTCTTATTTACAAGTTCACTCTTGTGTTGCTGCCAACAAAGATCCTGTTCAGTGAATGTACAGGGATTCAAAAGGAATTTTAGAGATTTTACAGAGCATTAGCACTTTTTTTCCATGACGATTCGATATTATTATTCTGGGCTTCTCATTTGAACAACTCGCCTCATATTTAAAAGATCATTACAGAAGAAGTTACTTAGTTTGTATATATGGAGTTAGTTACGTCGATGCTATTTACTTTTAATGAACCTATCCGCCGTTAAAACAAGGTCACATGAATGTTTGTGTGAACTGTGTCATGCTGTAATCCTCCAGTAGTGGGTGTATTGCAGATAGTTAACTCTCCAATAGTTAATAACTAATGTTCACCATCCAATAGTTTTAAACTCCATACGCCGATCATGTCAGTCGAACGGTGTTTGTGATCTTTGATAGACAAATCGCAGAAACGCACCCTCTCATCAGTCAAGTAACTACGCTCACCACTATTCACACAATGTTGAGGTTCTAAATATGAGTTGATCCCGGCCATTTAGCATACACAATCGTAAATTTACCTACAAATTAGACAAATAATTTAGAAAATTAAGCAATGTTCTTAATGGATTGATTGCATTTCTACTGTAGGCATATATATTATATATTACAAACCATCAATGCAACCTAGGACACTCGGAAAACCACCAATGGCGAAAAATCCATCTTTAACCTGACGTATGTAGCATTCTAGTGTTGGCCATTTTATGAATTCGTTCTTTCTTTTAACCAAGGCATCAGTTACATCGACTATGACACGTGAAACTGTACTTTTGTCCACCCCCATCGTATCACCAATCACTTGAAGGAAACTACCACTTGCGTAAAAACGGAAAGCTATCATCAGTTGTTGATCGACGTTTAGAGCATGGCGACTTTATGTAGGGCGCTCCAAATCTTCCCTCAGTATATTGGCGATATAGTTGATAGATTCCCGCCCAAATCTGTACTTATCACGAAGTGCACTGTCTGTGTAGTTCATTTATGCAAAATTAACAGCTCGGGATCGCTTCTGTTGTCTCGCATAACCTCTGGAACCATGTCAGCGGCTCTAGGCCTTACCATGAACGCAATTTTGTTTCAAAGATAGACAAGGTGTTAAGTATTTAACGGAGGTCAGGAGGTGTGTTAACTTTAACGGGTGTTAAACCAGTCGTTAAAGATAACCATGCTTTGAGAAACAACATAACCATTTGGTTATATTTAACGGGGAGTTAACACTGACTTAACGGCTGGTTAACACGTAACCGGGTTCTGAACAACCGAGCCCAGGTCTCTGTTTAATGAGGTACATTTTATATTATTGCAGCTGGTTGGTGTCGGACTTACAGTCATAGGCACATGGCTGGACAGATCGTATAAACTGACTGACTATATGAATGACTCGGACAGCTTCAGGCTCTTGTATATAGCTTCTTACAGCTTTGTCAGTGTTGGACCTCTCATCATCCCCTTTACAATTGTTGGAATCTGTGGAACAGTCAGAAGGAGCGTGCGTCTTTTATACGTGGTAAGTTATTAGTTACATGTAGTTAAATCACAACTTGTTGAGACCCTCATGGACAGTCCGGGTTAGAACATGCGGTGGTCGTAAGAAGGATCGGAATGGATCTGGTGGCCAGGCTTGGTGGCTTTCTTGGCTTTGGTTTGCTCATACCATCAATCACTATGTCTGGTCCAGTTTCGATTATTTACAGGTCGCCATCATATGGCTGGAATATTGCTGAGTGTGGTGTTCAGTGTGAAAATCTGAGTTTTCCGAAGTTGAAAAGAGTGATATTTTCACTGCTGTGAACATAACACGTTGTCAAGCAAGAATAACCTCTCCTCGAATTGTCTCCCTTTATCGTAAGTGTCTGCTCGTACACAAACTGTTGACTTCCTTTTAACGTTAGCTCCACATTGACAAGACAAAATAATGACAGATAGTCATTAACTGAGTTAATATCGCTTCATGTCGTTTGTTATTCTCATGAAAATGTTTCGTTATAAACTGTAAATTTCTCATTTAACTCGTCAATCGAAAATGTTCGTTTCACAAAGTGCCATTTTTGTACTCGACAAGAGTGACTTTATTTGCTTCCAACACCGGTCTCGAAGTTTTTAAGAATATTTTTCGTTAAAGCAGATTTTGTATATAATCAAATCGATATGTATGATACAAAATTTCGTGACCCTAAATATTTTTGTTACATTTGTTTATATTTTTTAAGATTTTGAAAACACGAAACGACTCTTTAGTCGCAAACACAAGGGGTTGTGATTCGTCCTGTGTGTTAGCTAGAGAAAATATACGTTTCAAGGTTTGTAATGAAAAAAATATTTTTTTCGAGAAAACAACTACGTATACAAAAGGAGTATGTAATAACTAGGATGTGTCGAGTGAAGTGTCATGTTACTCTCATCGAGTGACGGGTTGAGAGGAGATATTTTCACCAGTGGCGTGTGAAGTTCACCCCTACAATTTAAGCGTCTAATTTTTCAATATAAATCTGAAAAAACTCACATTTCTGTACCATGCAAGTATTTGAAAAACATTTAAAATGACGTTTCGTGCCATCAAAATGGTTTCAATAATTAAACTGAAATTGTAATACGTCTGAATGTTGATTTGAGGAAATAATTTGAATGAGTTCTAACGAGAAATGAAATATGAAACTCACAAACTATCATGTCAAACTATTGAAAGGATTCTTCGAGTAGCACCAGTTATGTAAGGGAAAGAGATGTGTTTATCGTCGCCGCCGCCGCCGTTTTGTGGGGGGGGGGGGGGGGTTTGGTTGTTTTTTTTGTTTTTTTTGGGGGGGTGTCTCTCACTCTCTGAGGTTTGAGGGTCACACACACCTTAAGATCAGTGGGAAGATCTATCGGTGCCGCCTGTGAGGTTGGTTACTTACTCTGTTGTTTAACGCCGCACTCAGCAATATTCAAGATATGTGATGGCGGCCTGTACATAATCGAGTCTGGACCAGACAATCTCGTGATTGACATCATGAGCATCGATCCACGCAATTGTGATGCAATAACATGCTTCAACCAAGTCAGGGGGGCGGACCAACCGATCCTGCTGGTCACCTCTGATTACAAGCATAATTGCAACTTACAGCAAACATGGGTTGCTGAAGACCTTTTATCTACCCGGATCTTAACGGGTCCCGCCTGTAAGGTAATAATGATGTCAGTTAGTCTCACAAGTTTACCGACTTGGTTAGTGCAGTGCAGGGCAGAGTCATTGTCAATTTTTGTGTGTGTCATTTTCCGGGCCCACGTTGTTGTGCACTCAGGCTGTCTGTCAATGCTCGTGACTTGTTCAAGGTATCATTATGGTGATGCGCTTGATAAATATGTGCACCATTGTGGCTCTTAATGTTGAGTGTGTCAGTATGCACTGCTCCTAGTGAGAGAAACTAGCTGTTTCTTTGGGGTGTTTTTTTAATCCGAATACCTTGTTCAAGTCGGTGTCGCATTTACGGTGTGAGTTGTATAAATTGCTGTGACGTGCTCTCTGTGAAGGGCGGCCATTATATTTTCTACGCGTGGTTAGTGTGAATTGTCAGATGACTATGTGGGACGTGGTGGTGTGTGAACACACTTATGTGTTCTGAGAATATATTTAGCAATCTGTTATTTAACAGTATTGTGGGTATTAAACAGAGCCACCGCTACGCACTTGTCTGGTCGCAATATTGACACCGTATGCTCTGGTGTATTTCCGAGACAGTAAAAAGGCTAAAACTAGTATTCGAACCCACGATCATATGTTCCTGGTACGCTGAAGACACTCCACTTCGCACAGCGTGTTGCAGCACCGTAGATGACTATACAAGCTTAGTGTGGATGCTTATTGCGTGGATTACCATACTATATATAATAAATAAATAGAATATCCGAATAGATGTGGTGATTGTAATGATAAAATATTCATCATTTCAGTTCTTGATAGGATTCTTGATTCTCTCAACCATTCTGCTTGCGGTTGGAGTGTACAATTGGGTGCAACATAGAGATGTGAGTAACAATAAAAGGATTCACCAGCATATGAAAGCATTTCTAAGTCTGCACACACACATACACGCACACGCACAAAATATACACGCACACACACACGAATAATTATATATCCACTATGTTAATAATATACACCTCACCATGTCTAATTATACTATGTGCATGTATCTAACTCAACCATTCTGCTTGCGGTTGGAGTGTACAATTGGGTGCAACATAGAGATGTGAGTAACAATAAAAGGACTCACCAGCATTTGAAAGCTTTCTACGTCTGCAGTAGATTGAAACCAGTGGTTGAAGCTTTCACGCAACACACTCGCACGCACACACACATACACGCACACACACAACATATACACGCATTAACACGCACACACACACGAATAATTATATATCCACTATATTAATAATATACTCCTAACCATGTCTAATTATACTATGTGCATGTATCTAACTTGATATACTATTGTTTGTAGGCGATAGAGGCTTTTGCAAATCACCTGAGGGCCAAATTTGTGGTTGATGACGATTTCAGAAAGTATATGAAAAATGTACATACGGTAAGGTATTTTGTTCAAAACTTAACAAACATTCAGGGGACACATAATGATAAATGCACTTCAGATGAACTAACAGACAATTGAATTAACGAGTACACTCTTTGTGTATGTGTTTAAGGACTAATATTTTGAAATTGTCAATATAATAGTAGTGATTCAATTCACAATGAGTCAGATTCCATTCACCAAATGAATGCTCACGGCGCTATATTAGTTTTACCCCCGCACTGTTAGTGTACAATCCAATTTCATTCTCATCTCCCTGGTACTAACCAAGCTTCCTTTGGTGAGAGAGGTGATATTAATGACCTGATCAATGAATCTTATTATAGTTAAACTGCTGTGGATCTATTGGTTATAGCAACGACTTCCTGAATACATGCACCCCTCGGGCACCATATTCGGTTAGTAGTTTGTTAAATGATTATCATATGACCAGGTGTATTGATACGACTAACCAAAATATAACCACGATACAAGAACAGTTTTTACATTAAATGATCATATTGATATTTGACTGAATTCAAATTGTCACTGTCCTAAGTGCATGCTCATGGCATTGCCGAATTTTTAACATGGACTCTGCTTTCTAAGGATTATGGATATGCTGTGTTTTACATTCAATGATACTTCTTTATTCTCTCTGATTCACAGTACTGTGCTTTCCCGACGTACTTACAACTGAAACCTTACATCTACGGATCGGTTGGTGTCGCCTGGGCTGTTGATGTTTTTATGGTTAGTGATGACCTTGTGTAAAGTATTCAGAATGGGAAATAACTCATTTTACGCCATTATAAATTTGTTCCAAATTAACCATTTGTTGTAACCGTTTATATCCAACATGGTGTTTCACATTTCCTTAAATTACCAAATATCCTTAAAGGAATCCACCAAGCGATACTAAATATTGGAAGATGTTAAGTAACATGTGACTTTAATTCATTACATTGTTATTCCATTTCTGCACACAACATCAGTTTAATAAATACCACATAGGGACCCTCGAAGATCCGGGCTAGGAGAAGGCTTCAGAAACCTATGCTTGCCGTAAAAGGTGACAATGCTTGTCGTAAGGGGCGACTAACGGGATCGGGTGGTCAGGCTTGCTGACTTGGTTGATGCTTGTCATCGCATCCCAATTGCGTGGATCGATGCATGTGATGTCAATCACTGGATTGTCTGGTCCAGACTCGATTATTTATAGACTGCCGTCACATATCTTGAATACTGCTGAGTGCGGCGTTAAACAGGAAACAAACTGCCACTTAAGTCTTAAGTGTTTTAAGTACTGGTGACTGTAAAATAGCACAAAATGGTGGTTTATAAGGTTTGTGTTGTGTTTCTGGTACAAAACGTGCATTGCTGTTAAATACACATTGATAATGTCAATGTATCTCTAACGTAAATGTTCGAGTAGTTCCATGGCCGTTTTATTTTTTTTACAGACTATAGGAATGGTTTGGTCACTGTTGCTTTGCCGTGTCATAAAAGCACATGATGTGGATAAGAGACACCTTCGAAAATACCACTTGAACATGACTGAAATGAAGGAGTTATTTCTTGAAGTTTCAAGGGTACAATATCCAAGGCCTCAGCGAAGCTTTCAAACAGATGTATGATAGCCACTCGCACGGTATTTAAGAACTTGATGGTTCAGTGACCAACTTTTTTCCCGATGCAATTCTCGATGTCTTCCCTATATGCCTACAGTCCCATTCTGCCTACATTAAAATCCTAAAAAGATGCGGTCTGATGCTCAGAAAATGATACATGTGTGAACATGACTGTGACCTGTTTCACCTGTGATATGAGATAAACTTGTCCATACCGAGTCAAAGAAACACTGTAGGTACAATTGGAAACACTTGTGAAATAAAGGCATCACACAAAACAAGTCACGCATATAATATATTTATAATATAACACTGACGAAAACAATAACAATATATTTGGCAATACTTTTACATTCAATCAATTGACGACAGGCTGTCTCAGTCTGCTGAGTAGGCGTATCTGCTCTTCTGATGCCACCGATGAATGGTTTCGTTCTGACACTGATCTAATGAAATCTCCGACAATGTTGCACCGACCTTTGCACACTGACTGCACACACTTCAAGTGTGTTGCAAACTGACGTTCAGGTTAAACCGGTAACGGTATAATGAGGTGGGATTGAAAAAAGGATGTGATATACACTTAAACATTTTACTTCGTCAAATGTTAATTTCATTGATCTCTAAAATAAATCAACTTTATAACGGCATACGTATTAACATATCTACTCAGCTTCAGATTTGGTTTTTTAACTACAATGGATTAAAAGCTTAATTGTATTGATCTTAAATATAGTTAATTGATGTGGTTGGTTCTATATTATTTGTAGTTGTTTATACAGTAATAAGTATATATTAAGGCTAATGTTAATTGCATTGATCTCTAAAAGAAAATCATCTTTATACCCGCATGTGAATTTTGTTGTATTTAGTGTTTATATATATATACAGTAATAAATATTTAAATCCATTCGTCCGTTTTTTAGTTACTAACATTTTACACAGAAATCTGTTAATCAATAGTAGTTCAGTCCATTTACATAAGTAGGAATGAAACCGAGATCCCAATGTGTCAACATTATTTTCTGTAGGCAAATTGGGATATAGGCACAATGGGATGTAGGCACAATGGAATTGGACCAAATTTTCTATTTTGCCTTGTACCCTAAACCAACTGGCTTGCCTTTGCATGTGTCTGTGACAGGTGTCACAAGTGGGGCATGATACGATAACGTGTTCGCGAAGACTGGCATCATCACTATTTGATAATGATTCATAAACACATATTCTTCATAAAGTCGGAGATTTCTTATGATTATTTGCAATGTTTTTTGTCGCTTTTACTGTCATGGTCACGGAAGCGATCGTACCTTATATCGGAGTATGCTAAGTTTATTCCTTTTGGTGGTCATAATTGAAAGATCGTAATGAAGATTAACGTACTTAACAATATATAGGAGTCGCCCTTGAGATCGATGTTAATAGAGCAATGATACGTGAGTGAGTGAGTGAGTGAGTGAGTGAGTTAATATTTAAAGTCACATCGGCACTATTTCAGCCATATCGTGACTTGAACAAGTTAAACATTTATATTATATATAAAAACCTGTCGCCGAAGGACAGTACAATAACTAGCAATATATCACAGGTTATTATTTTAAAAATTAGTTTTAGAGCAATAAAATGATCACATTATATCAGACGACACAGTATAAAAACGGGCTGTAGATCGCCAGCAACCAAAGTTCAGCCACCATACTAGGGACCATGGGGACTAACGGTACTTCTGCTACCTACATGGTCCCCAGCAGGATTTACACCATCCCTCGGGCTACTGGCGATGATCAGAAAGATTAGCCAAACAGTTAAAATCAACAAAAATGCTACGATTAAAATCACAGCGAAATGAAAAGATACTTTGAATGATACCGGACTTACGTACCTTCACAGGGGCACAATTGTTTTACGATACTTCAACCCCCTGTTTTTAAGATACAGCCACTAACAATCTAAGTTATGAATTCATTTTACCAAATTAAAATCACTTTCTATATACTATACATATTATAATCAAAATTTATCTATTAATTCTATTTCTTTTAAAAAACCGATGAGTAAATGAGCACTGATACTAAAAAGAACCTTGATGGACGAAACTTTGAAATACTTATCCCTTGTAATGGAAAAATCAATACAGTCAAGGAGTACATGCTTGACTGTGATTCTCTCATCACAAGGGATACAAAACGGAGGATCCTCAACTTTAAATAGATATTCGTGTGTGTATCTTGAATGGCCAATACGACATCTTCGTAAAATGACCTCTTCAAATCTGGACTGACAACCCAAGTAGGTGTAACCGATAGTTGGCTTAATTTGATGTAATTTACTGATACCTACTTGGGTGTCCCACTTCATTTGCATAAGATCCCTGATGTAACATCTGACCACAGGATTATAATCACTGTATGGAATTAGAAGTGGTGTCACAGATTTGTTGAGTGCAGCATCAGCCATTGTGTTGCCTTTTATACCCACATGACTGGGCAACCAACAAAAGACGATGTCGTATTGGCCAGTTGAAAGATCATTATAAAGTTCTAAAACGTTTAAAATGATTGGATGACTAGAAGAGACTTTTTTTAGTGCCTGAAGACAAGATAAAGAATCAGAAAAGATTATAAATCGTTTAGATGCAGACTGTTTTTGAATGTATCCCAAGGCTGTAAGGATCATTGGCCTCAGCAGTGAATATAGAGCTATTATCTGGTATTCTGGAGGATAAATGTTTTGATCCAATGACGGTGGCAGATGCGACTTTGCCACCATCCTTGGATCCATCAGTAAAGATTGAACGGTGAGTGTCGTATTTATTTCTTAACTGTAAATATGCTTGTTGATATACGAGTGGATTGGTCTCAGATTTTATAAAACGTGTGAGGGAAATGTCTACTTCTGGCCTCATCAACTGCCAGGGAGGAGAAGACAAAAGGCGGTAAGGAGAGATGAGATCTAAATCTTTATTGGCAGCAATAACATTTGATTTAATCCGAATTCCAAGTGGGGGAACCACCTCTGGTTTCCTCTGAAACAGTTCTTCATATTGGGGATGAAAAACGGAGTCATTGGCAGGATTAGAAGGGTTAGAGTGCAATTTAGTGATATATTGAAGAGATAATTTAATACGGCATAGTTTCAAAGAGAGTTCACCAGCCTCGACATAGAGACTGTCAACAGGAGAAGTTCTAAAAGCATCAAGGCACAGTCAAAGTCCTTGATGGTGGATTGAATCTAGCTTTTTTAAATTACTCTTGCAAGCTCCAGCATACACAATGGAGCCATAGTCTAATTTAGAGCGGATTAATGATCTATATATGTGAAGGAGGGTTGTCTGATCCCCTCCCCACTTAGAATTCGAGACGACTTTCATCAAATCGAGGGCCTTCAGGCATTTAGTCTTTAAATATTTAATATGTGGCAAAAACGTCAAATGGTGGTCGAAAATCAATCCCAGAAATTTTGCCTCTTTTACATCCTTAATTGGAGTACCATCAAAAGAGAGCTCTCGGTCTTTATAGGGTTTATATTTCCGACAGAAATGTATACAATTTGACTTCTTCTGTGAAAACTTAAATCCATTCTCAAGACACCATTTTTGAATTTTATTAAGACACAACTGTAAGTGCCTTTCAATGGTACGCATTTACCACGACATGAAATATTAAAATCATCCACAAACAATGACCCATCGATTGAGTCATTTAATACTTTAGATAAACTATTTATTTTTATGCTAAACAAGGTAACAGACAAAATACTGCCTTGTGGAAACCCCTGATCCTGATTATAATGATCAGACAGGGTTGATCCAACACGAACTTGAAATTGTCTGTCCGTTAAAAACTGTGATACAAATTGAGGCAAGCGGCCTCTTAAACCAAAGTCATGTAAATCTTTTAAAATACCATGCTTCCAAGTGGTATCATAAGCTTTTTCAAGATCGAAAAAGATAGATACAGCATGTTGTTTGTTTACAAAAGCAATTTTAATAAATGATTCTAAACGAACCAAATGATCAGTTGTCCTTCGGTTTTTACGAAAACCGCACTGGATATCACTGATTAAATTGTTGGTTTCTAAAAACCAAACTAAGCGATTATTCACCATGCGCTCCATGGTTTT